CTCACGGGCACGTTCACCCAGGCCCGGGAGGCAAGGGGGTGGGAGGGGCACTCAGGAACGCGGTCCCCGGGCTGCAGGCTGGTGCGGCCTCACTCAGGTGATAGAAAGAGGTCCAGAAGCCCTTCTAGAGACTGACCGTTCGGGCCTTCTGGACCCCAGTTAAGCCACGCAATCCCGGAAGGCACCTCCTCTCTTGAAGAGCGTCCCTCAGGACTGCTCGGCCCGGGTGCTATCCCGCCGGTGCCCCCACTCATGGAGGAGAGCACCAGCGAAGTGCTGGGACCGTTGGTCACCGGGGAGCCGTCCGGGCCAGGTGTGGACACGAGGTGACGCAGCGCAAGCGAGCTTGAGGAGCACGAAGGTCATGCGTGCGGCTGTGGGGGCTGTGGGAACCTGCCCTAGGCACTGCGCCCCACGCAGGATCCGTCTGACAGATGCTCACCTCTGGGTCCAGTTAGCATCCTTTGTGCTGGTCAGGACTTCCGAATTCCAAGAAATCAGACTGATGGTTTCAGCCGAGACCGAAGAGGCTTTTTCACACTCATCTAAGTGTCCAAGGTGCTCAGAGATGCACAGCACGCCGATCTGCCGTAGCCACACATTTGGAGAACAGCTGTTCACAAGACCTTGGGGGTCACGCAGAGAACGAGAGCCATGCCTGTGCTGAGCACCGGGCATGGAACCTGGTGCCCCGGGATGACGGGGACGTACTGAAACACTGCAGTACCGTGATTCACTCTGGCAGGTGCCAGGCTGTGGGCCTGCACGACCCCTTCTGCCTGAAAAGGGCTCCAAAGTTCCAAAGCCAGGTCTGGGAACCAGGACCTCTGCCCCCAGGGGTGGCCTCGTGGGGTCACGGGAGGTCATGGGCATCAGCCTGGGTGGGTCATGCTCTGTTCACCGATGGCCCTGGAACCCCCACCGCTATGCAGGGCAGCCCCCCACCCTGGGTGCTGCATGGACTCCTGGGGGCTCCTGCGGCCGCTTCGGGCAGGCTGTATGAAGAGCAGGTGCCAAGTCCTACTTCCCAGGCTTCCCTGCCGTCCCAGAAGGGGCTCCTGCAGAGGGAGCCCTGGGGAACATCCCTCCGCTGGGCAGGGCCATCCAGTTTGGCACCAGCTACACATTGGTGAATGGTGGGCAAGTGCCCTTCACCACAGAGCTTGCTGCGTCCAGACGTGAGCACCTGGGTCTTAGGAGGCAGCTGCGTGTTTCAAGAGGAAGCACCACAAATGGACCTTAAATAATAGGGAACGACTTAGGTGCACTTCATCAGGAAGGCCAGGAGGGGTTGTGAAGTTAGGGCGTGATCACATGCAGCTAACTTGGGAACTGGGCCCGAGCATCTAGAGAACCACGGCAGGGGGGTCTGTTTGGTGGTGAGGCACGTCGCTTGGCTAGCTGCTCCGGTCTGAGAGTGTGTGTCCCCAGATTCATATCGGGAAGCCCCACCCCAAGGGGAGGGTGTGGGAGGCAGTGGGCCTCCCACGGTGGGTAAGCATGGAGCCCTTGCGAACACGGTCAGTGCTCTTATGAAAGAGACCCCGGAGGGCCCCCTGCCCCTTCCGCCCGCGAGGACACGGCAAGAAGTCTGCTCCCACCAGAACCGAGCCCACTGGCCCCTGACCTCAGGCGTCCAGCCTCCAGACTGGGAGACACATTTCTGCTGTTCGTAAGCCCCAGCCAGTGGCATTTGGTTAAGGCAGCTGGCATGGGTGGAGCCCTAACGGAGGGAGGGGAAGCCTGGGAAGGTGTGTCTACTAAGAGCCCTCGCCCAAGGGGGCTGAGCGGCATGGCTGGAAGTCTCCACGGTGTGCTGGGGCCGTGATCCTTACATTGCCCATAGTGTGGCCCATGGAGGTGAGACAGGAAGAGAAGACGTGTGAGTAGCCGTGAAAGCAATCCGAGGAAACACCAGATGGGCCGCGTCGCTCTGGTCTGGAGTCCGCAGCACCACGCGACCTCTCGGAGGCGGGCGCCGGCCATGACCCCTGTTCTGTGGACAAGGTGAGTGCAGAGTCTGCAAAAGCAGCCTTGTTCTTTTTCTTCCAGCGTTTCTGAGCCAATCTGTCCCTCAGCTTGTCTTTCTTCTCTCAGCCTTGTGGCTGGAAGCGAGCAGGGAGGTGGCAGGCTTGTCTGGAGGACGCTGGCAGCCCCGGTGGCCCGGCCTGCTCCCCGGAGGGTGCACCAGGAACCTGGCTCTCCGGGTGTTTCCTATGCACCTGACGGCTAAGTCTCCCTTTGTGCTGGGCCGGGCTTAGGAGTGTCCGCCGTCCTCCGGGGTCTGCAGGGTCAGTAGCTGGGGCGGCCGAGCGGGCGGTCCCCAGAGGAAATTTTGCCTGAGTCACAAGCCGGCTTCCGGGGCAGAAACCCTGTGTGTGTTCTGCTGCTGGAGGAGGGAGGTTCTGTGTGGACCGTCCACCTGGAGTTCACCTTTGCTGCTTCAGCGCCGTCCTCACTGTGCTGAGGAGGAACCACACTCAACGCGGCTGAAACCCTGGGTGGCAAAGCCAAACCCTGGACTCGGGCCTCGCCAGTGTCTGCGTGCCTGACCTGCTTTCTGACCACCCGGTAGAATTGCCGGGGCTGCTGGTGGACCCCAGCTGGGCCCCCACGAGGGCACCTGCCCCCACCTGCTGGGGCGAACGCCCCTGGATGTGCCTGCGTGGGCCTGCGTGGCCCAGAGCCACCCCCTCTCGGTGAGTTAAGTGAGCTTGCCCCTTGGAGACCTCGTTCTCGGCTCCTCCCATGGGACACAGCTTCACGCCTGACCCCACAGCTGCGCTCCCGGGACCTGCCCTCCGGCCAGAAGGGAGCGTTTATCAACCTTGGGCCTGGGTTCTTCCAGACTCAGTCCTGTGAGTAAAATGGAATATTTAAACTAAGGTTATTCATTCAAGGCCAATTTAAAAAATATTTATTGAATCCCTATCATTTCCCCATTGAACGTGTAGATGCTGTGTGCCAGGGTCTGAGGACACAGCCCTTCCCTTGGGCCCGGGGAGGATGCCGCAAAAGCTCCAGGGACATGCACTGGGGTCATGCGGGGTCGGGAAGAGGGCAGGTGGGGTCTGAGCATCTGGTTGTGGGCACTCCGGCTGGCATGGTAGAGAAGCCAGCTGGAGGCCGGGGGCCAGGCTGGGCAGCAGTGGACGGCCCCGCATGCTTTGGGAAAGGGAGTGCACAGCCAGGCCTCCCCCTCAGGAGGGAAAATCTGCAGGGTGGTGGCAGGACCCATGGCCACCAAGAAAGGATCCAGAGGCCTGCGGGGGATGGGGAGGTGCGGTGTTCGGGGGCAGAGTCAGGGCCTGGGGGCTCCCTGATTTGGGCAGGGGGACAAGAATAATCTGGAGCAATGCTAGCTTTCTGACATGGACGATGGGATGCTGAACTGGGGACGTGGGGTTGGGGCTCCTTCCTCATGGACGCACTGGTTGGTTTTGTCAGGAGCCCCAGGGAGAGGCATCAGCCGCCATGGCATATGAAGGTCTGGATCCAGGAGCATGTGGACACTGGCGTGGCCCCAGTGGGATGGGGCTGGGTCTGGCCGCAGAGACCCTTGGGGTGTCTTGAAAGAGAGTCCATGTGATGGGCAAGGTGCAATGTCCTTGCCTCAGAGAGGCCCTGGTGGTGGGTCGCTGGGGCTGGCAGTCTTCCTGAGTCTGTCACCCAGCCCTGCCCCCGCAGAGCGGCTCCTCTCTCGGGCCGACCCTCTCACGCCCTCCCCCCAAGGTCATCATCCTCCAAAATGCATCCTGCACTTCCCAACACTGGCCTTGCCCGAGGACCTCGCCCTCCTGCTTGAGAAAGGGCATCCAGCTGGGACCCGCACCCCAAGCTGAGGCTCTGAGTCTATCCTGTCCCCAGGCCACGCCTCCAAGGCCTAGGGGAGCACTTCCAGTGTCACCCGTTGGTGGCAGGCGGTGACACCCCGGCAGGAGGCCGAGCCAGGGCTGAGGGCAGGGACGGGATTCACACTCAGCCGACAGCCATACCTGAGCCCCGGGCAGGAACGGGGGACTAGTGCTTCCCGTCACAGTAACGGGGACGTCCACCCCAAGCCACGGGCCACGTTGGTGGAGCTGGACTTTCCTTCCTTCAGCTCCCCACTGGCGCCGGCACAGGTCTCGAGAAGCCCCCGCCCTGAAACCTAACCGTCTGTGGAAATTAAACAGCATGCTACACGGCCAACGGGCCAAAGAAAACACTCACAGGAAAATCAGAAAATATTAAAACGAATGGCAAAACATGCCCGAATCATGGGACACTGCAACAGCATTGCCTCAAGGGAAATCCGTAGCTGTGACCATGTACGATAAAGGCAGAAAGACCTCAAACTAGTCTAACTTTACACCGTAGGGAGCTAGAAATAAGACGAGCAAAGTGAACTCCCAGCTAGCAGGCGGACAGGAGCAGTGCGGACTGGGGCAGAGGTCGTAAAATAGAGAAGAGGAAACCACACAGGAAATGGATGAACCCCACGTGGGTTCTTTAAAACAGTCCACAAAACTGGCCAACCACTAGCCGGACCGACCGAGAGAGAGAGAGAGAGAGAGAGAGAGAGAAGGCTCCTATTATGCTGGACGTCCCGGCCAGAGCGATCATGCAGGAAGAATTAAACTTAAAAGCCATCCAGACGGGACAGGTGTCCCCATATGCCGACGGTGGGACCACATACCCACGGAAGGAATCCATAGGAAAGCTCCCAGAGCTCGTGAACAAATTCAGCAAATCTTCAGGACACAAGACCCACACACAAAATTCAGTTGCATTTCTGCCTGTAAGCAACGATCGACCTGAAGATGACGAGACAGTCCCATTACAATAGCATAAAAGCAGTCCTTAGGAAAGAAATCTAACCCAGACGGGGCAGGACGTGTGCGCTGGAAGCTGTTGATGTCGCTAGCAAAGATCACACAGACCCGCAGACATGGAGAGCCATCTGTGTTTACGGATCGGATGCTGTTAATGTTACCGTGTCAATGACTCTTCTTGAAGGGATCTGCAGGGTCCAGGCAAGCTCCATCAAAACTCCAGTGGCCATTTTTGCAGAGATGGAAAAACGGATCCTAATGTTCATATGGAATTGCAAGGGACCCTGAATAGATAAAACAATCTTGAAACACGAGAGCCCTCTGTCCCCTCTGCTCCCTGAGCCGGCCCTGACTTGAAGGCAGAGCATCTAACGCCCGGACTTGGGGTCTCAGCCCTGGCGGTCCCTCTGCTGAGTGGGGACCGCCCCCAGGGCTCAAGCAGGAGGGAGAGTCAGGCCCAAAATGTTCTTTCTCTCTAGCGTCCTGTAAAACTTTATGTGAATGTGGTTGCCTTGAAATCTCTAAATGGTCCTGGTTTTCCCCAAAGCGGTGCAGAGGGGGCCTGTGGAGCGAGCGGACAGACCCTGGTGTGGGCCGCAGGGAAAGCGAGGGCCCTGGCAGACCCCTTGCCGCATCTCTGCGGTCACCTTGCAGCGAGGTCAATGTGAGAAGTGAGACAGTCGGCTTCTTGTTTCTCAAAAAACTGTTCTGAGTTCACACAGAGGGTCCGAACCCACAGCTACTTTCTTTTTATTTCTCATCAGAAAACTGCAGAGCAGGGAGGACACAGGCCTGCCTGCCTGCCGGCCTCATACCCAGCTCTGGGCCCCGCCGTGGGTCAGCGGGCCCTGCTGTACTACTCTGCTCAGCGTAGGGCGAGGCCCGGCAGTGCGGAGCCTGGGGGCTCTCCCCTCCCCTAAAGACTCAGGAGCTACATCCCGTGCTGGGAGTGCGGTCGGGGACATGGATACAAGGATGCCTACGGGGGGCCAGTCGGAAGAGCATCGCTGGTAAGGATGCCTGTGGCTGGAGGGCAGATGGCAAGTCCAGGGGGCTGTGGGAGGAAAGACTCTGGCCCCCAGCCTTCAGGGTCCCCACCGCCACCCCCAGGCTAGGCCTGGCCAGAGAAGGCAGTGGAGGAGGGCAGGCCCTCAGCAGAGTCCAGAGCCAGTGTCCCCACTCTCTGGCACCTCATCCTGCCAGAGGGGTCGTCACCTAGGGAGCTGCTGGAATCACACCCCCTCCGCCCCCCAAGGTCAAGCTTCTGTACCAAAGAAGGGGACATGGAGGGAGAGGTCACAGTGGTTTTCAGACAGGACAGCAGGAACAGCACAGGTCCCAGAGTGACCGGCAGGTGTGACACAGCCAGCTTAGTGCACAGCCATCGAGCCCATGCCCTTCCAGTCCTGGGCCCCCTGAGCCCACAGCCCATGGGACACATGCCCACGGAGCCCACGGGACACATGCCCATGAGGCCACAGCCCACAGAACACATACCCACGGAGCCTGGAGACCACAGCCCAAGGGACACATGCCCATGAGGTCACAGCCCATGGGGCACATGCCCACAGAGCCCGCAGGACACATGCCCACGGAGCCCATGGGACACATGTCTATAGAGCCCGCAGGACACATGCCCACAGAGCCCACGGGACACATGCCCACAGAGCCCACGGAGCCCACGGGACACATGCCCACGGAACCCACGGGACACATGCCCATGGAGCCCACAGCCACAGGACACATGCCCACAGAGCCCGCAGGACACATGCCCACGGAACCCACGGGACACATGCCCATGGAGCCCACAGCCCACAGGACACATGCCCACGGAGCCCACAGGACACATGCCCATGAGGCCACAGCCCACGGAACACATACCCATGGAGCCTGGAGACCACAGCCCAAGGGACACATGCCCATGAGGTCACAGCCCATGGGGCACATGCCCACAGAGCCTGCAGGACACATGCCCACGGAGCCCACGGGACACATGTCTACAGAGCCCGCAGGACACATGCCCACAGAGCCCGCAGGACACATGCCCATGGAGCCCAGAGCCCACCACGGAGCCCACAGGACACAT